GCTCTCCCTGGCCGGTGGCAGCAGCTACCCTACAATACCGCATCTTTATGCTGCAAGAAAGTAGGTCAGACGTTGCTTCCTTATGTCATAAGAATGCAGGTTTGCTTAGCAGGAAAGGTGCTGTTAGGTAATATCATGGTTTAGGAAGGAAATTTATAAACTGATATATCATGATATAAAACAGCACCTTCCACAATGGGTAATTTTGTGGGAGAAGCACACAGCACGCCTTCTTTGGACAAAGCCCCCTGGGCGTGCCAGCAAGATTTGCCCACAGCTTGTCGGTGGTACCAATCCCTGTTAAAGTGCCCTATCCGTTTTTAATGCTCCAGAGATCCTTGCAGAATGGGCTGCTGCACTGGCATGGTGTCACCTCTCAGCACCCACAACCGTGACAAGTGAAAAGGTCGTGCCTTCAAACATTAGCATTGCAAAGAAGCCATGATAACGACTCATTTTTCACAGTCCTTTTGACCATTCTTTTAAGAAATGGTCTGAAAAATACTTGAGCAGGATAGGAGAACATGGGCTAGTAGGAGCATTTCTGCCTATATGCTGAATATATTAACCAGAACTAAAATACCCATTCTGGTGGGACTCTCTTTCAAGGGAGAATGGGAGGAAAAATGAGATACTTTTTTTTTTGCAGAATGAGATGGGCAAATCATAAAGATTCCAGAGGTCTCTGATTTAGTGGAGATTATTTCTCCCATATAGAATACAATAAAGCTTATAATTTAAAAAAAAAATTAAAAAAAGAAAGAAAGGAGAAAACAAGTCCTCAAAGGAACGCTGCGGTTTTTAGACAGCAGTTCTTCTAGTTGGTTGTTTTAAATTAGCAGAAAATTACATTCCAAGGTAACACCAGCCTTCACAATGCATTGCTCCCTGCCCAGCAGCGCCTAAGGTAGGGCAGAGACCCTGATTTCAGAATTGGCTCACGCTCGCTGGGCTTGGGAAATGCTCACACTCACGAGTCCTCACAGGAAACCTGTGTTTATTTCATGCCCTACCATTGTACGGATTTCTTTCCCTTTTCACAAATATGACACAGCAAGGAATCCAGTCACGGCCTGTAGACACCCACAAGACCGTGGGCATTAAGCATGCATGGATTTCCAGAACACAGTTCTGCGACCAGAGTCTCTCTATCTTTTGTTCTGAGCACAAGGGTGTTTCATCAGGAAACAGCAAGGAACAGGGCCACCTTTCAAAGCTAAATTCTGTGTGGGATTCATGGTTTCTGCTTCGCGTTCCCCAGCTGTGAGAGGAAGGATGAGGAATAAATATTTTCTTCTTTTTGGGCCTACTGTAGATTTATTTACAGTTTTCCAATTTAGGTCGCTTTTGTTGGCTTTGAGATCTCTAGTTATCATGAGTTAGCTCTCAGCGCTTATGAGAAAAAAAATCTTGATTTGTGTATGTGAGCCAGACAGAAGGCATCCCTAGTGTGGGAGCCACCACGCTCAGCTCCTCTGCGGTGGCAGCTCTATGTGACCCAGGGGTCTCTGCGGCCAGTACGCATCCGGCTGGAAAGGACGATGCCAGCTCACCTTTTGCGGGTGACCCAATAGCTACCGTCTGACTTGCCCCATCACATGGTTGAAGGGGAACATTCTTGTTCCCTCAACACAAACTCTGAATCTTGACAAAGTTAAGATTATCACTTAATTTCTCTCCTCCTCTCACTTCTTCTCTGCTCAGCCTCTTACCTAGAGAATGAAAAATAGCACTGCCACTTGGTAAAAGTGTGGCAGTATCTCAAGACATTATACACAGAATTGCCAGATGACTCAGTAGTTCTACTTTTAGGACTCTACCCTGGGGAAATGAAGACATATGTTGACACGACAACTTATGCACAAATGTTTTTAGCAGAACCATTCATAACAGCCCCAAAGTGGAAACAGCCCAGATGTGCATCCGTGGGTGAGTGAATAAACAAAATGTTGCATATCCATGCAATGGAATATTATTCAGCAATAAAAGAAACAAAATACTGATAAGCCCTATGATATGGATGAACGTTGAAAACATCAGGCATAGTGGGAAAAAAATCCAGAAAGCTAGACATAAAAGAACACATGCCATATGATGCCATTTATAGGCAGTGCTAGGCAAAGGTACAGAAAATAGATCAGTGATTGTCTAGAGCTTGAGGTGGGAGAGGGAAGTGACTATATATGGGGAGGAGGAATATTTTGGGGTAATGTAAATGCTTTAAGATTTGATGTGGTGATTATACACCTCTACATCTTGTATTCAGGTCGTAATAGCATTATGAATGTGTATGTATTGGGTAATGTGACTATATTAATACTTATATTGGGTTGAATAGTGTACCCCCTAAAACCTCAGAATACGGCTTTCTGTGGAAACAAATAGGGTCTTTGCAAATACCATTAGTTAAGATGGTGTCACACTGCATCAGTGCAGGTTCTAAATCCAGTGACTGGTTTCCTTTTAAAAAGTCCACATGAAGACAGAGAGACACTCAAGACAGAGTGCCGGGTGCAGACAAAAACAGAGGTTGAAGTTGTGCTGCCATAAGCCAAGGAATGTCTGGAGCCCCCAGAAGCTGGAAGAGACAATGACAGGTCCTCCCCTAGTGCCTGTGAAGGGAGTGTGGCTCCACGTGGCACCCACACCTTGATGTGGACTTCTGGCCTCCAAAACTGTGAGAGAAGAGGTTTCTGTTCTTGTAAGCCACCCGGCTTCTGGTGCTCGGTTGCAGCCACCCTGGGAAGCTGGTGCAATTTTATGTGTACAGCTGAATCATGCGCTTACAACAGGTGGATTTTATCGTATGCATATCATACCTCAATAAAGCTGTCAATAAAAGTAAACACTTACCTTTGTAGGCTGGGGACAGAAGGAACCAGAACCAAAGGCTAGGGCTGGTAGAGGCAGTTGTGACACGTTAGTCCACTTGCCCCGCTGTAAGGGAACACCAGGGACTGGGTGATTTACGAAGAAAAGAGGTTTATTGGGCTCGTGGTTCTGAAACTGTAAGACGGGTGGCACCAGCATCTGCTTCTGGTCAGGGCTTCGGGGAGCTCCACTGGGGGCACAAGGGGAAGGGGAAGTAGACACGTCACATGGCGAGAGCGCGAGTGAGAGGAAGGGGTGTCCACTGTCTTGAACAGCCAGCTCTCGAGCTCACTAACAGAGCGAGAACTCGCTCATCACCGTGGGAGGGCACCAAGCCATTCATGAGGGATCTGCCTTCATGACCCAAACATCCCGCCGGGCACTGGGGATCCAATTTCAGTGCAAGTTTGGAAGGGCCAGGCATGCAAACCATCTCAGCTGCTTCTCATAAATCCTGAACGAGGAATCTTGCAACGGGTGTGGGCAACTCTCTTTCAAATGCAATACTCGTAGCATCTCTTTCCTTGGTCACCAATGCGCCTACTCCACATCTTGTTACGTGGTCCGTGCTGTGAGGCACGTCTCTGCCACATGGCTGCTGGTCCTGCAGGAACCCCAAAGTGTAGGTTCTTTCATGGGGATCCAGGCTACAGAACTGGTAGATCTTTGACTTTCTGTTACAGTCTGAAACCTCTCTGGTAAGCCACGGGGGGAAGACGTGACATGGTACGTGCCAGTCCTGGAGGAACCCACAGTGTTTCTGTGGTCAGGTGCTCAGGGAGCCCTGGAGGGCCTCTCAGGTAGACAGCCCTGGGCACAGCGGGAGCTCCATCTCAGAAACGAGGGTGGGCCTTTCCTCCTGTGATTGGGGAAATGAGGTAAAAAGCAGGCACAAATATGGATTTGTTTTTGGTCATTTTTCAGATTTTCCTAGTGCTTTTTGATAACTCTTTATTCATTTATCATGTTTTCAAAACATCTTTGAATATTTTGTGGGTAGTTATTTTTGCAGTCTGCACCTGAAGTCCTTGGGAAGCTAATTCTTGGTCATGGTGGATTGCTTTCTCTTGTGTTTTGTAGTTTTGGTTTGCGAGCTCATGCTCAGCAGTTTTATCTGGGTGAATGCCACTGGGCTTGGAGAGGGGACACATTCTCCCAGAGTGTGTTTGCTTTTGCCAGGTTCTTCAGACCAATTGCTGAACTAGGACAACCCCCATGTCGGTTCTTCAGCATGAATTTGACTCCAAGCCTGTGTAGTCAGGCCAGTTACCGATTCTCAGGGGAGAGATTTTTTTTCTACATTCATAACACAAGCCAAGGAAGTTTGCTTGTCTCTTTGCTATTTGTGGGTTTTTATTAGTTATATACTTTTATTTTTCATTACTATTATTATTACAAATAATAAATAATATAATAATATTATTATTATTATTAACTTTTTTATTAGTTATATACTTCCTCTCAAGAGAGAGCCCTTTGAGGGGCCTGGCATTGGACGTCTCACTTTGAACTCCCCACCTCTCAGACAGTCCAAGTACCAGCATCATTTTACCTCTGGCTTTTCAACATCCACTTTTGGGTTTGGTCCACGGTTGTTCCGTCAATTTCTTATAAACTTAGCATGCATTTAAAAAGGCCTTTGTCATAGGCTGTTCAGAATTCCTAGGTGGTTTGTGGAATTGTGGCGGGATCTTCCCCGTTTCCCAGAACAGAAATATGCATAATAATTTTGAGGTGGAGAAAGGGAACTTGAGAAGTTTCACAAATAACGGTTTCCATTCAACTGGGGGTGAGATTCTTTGCTATGAGTTATAGAAGAAGGACAGGTTTGGGGTCTCCCAGTGACCAATAGATAAAGGTTGGTAAGGTTTGCAACAACTGTGGGAGATGCTGAGAAATACCTACACTTACTAGTAGGGAATGTTTCATCGCCCATGTTGAAAATGATAGAAATGTAGATCATTACAGAAGGAAGGGCATGATTCTTAATGTTAAGTCTCATTTCTAGACTCATCAGCCAGTAAAATCCCTTCCCTGTTCTAGGGGACATAGGTCTGCCCTTAGGGGGACAGGAGGAGCGTCCTATAAACAGGAAACTGCGCGGCAGTTTCTGCCGAGGGCTCCTTTAGCCAAGTTCCATTTTGCTGCCACCTTCCCTTTATTTTGTTTGTGATTCTTGCTCAAATAAATTTTATTCCAAAGAAACACCCCTGAGTGTTATGCCGGGGAAGATCAAGAACCCCGCTTTGCTGAACAAGCCGGGCCCTTTTGGTTTTTCAGTCCCCGCGATGATAACGTCCTACCCGAACACCACCCTGGCCACCCAGGGTCAAAAGAAGGAGATGAGCTGCACAGCCCACGGCGAGAAGCCCATCATCGTGCGCTGGGAGAAGGAGGACCGCATCATCAACCCCGAAATGGCCCGGTACCTCGTGTCCACCAAGGAGGCGGGAGAGGAGGTGATTTCTACTCTGCAGGTAAGAGCGTGACAGACCCACTCAGTGGACTCTAACGATGTCATGGGGAGACCAAGTCTGTCCTTTCACAGGAGCAGGTGCATGTGGGTGATGAGTAGCAAATAATCTCTTGGAATTTATTCATGAAGCATTATTTCTCCCCTCTTTCATACAGGGAGATTACTGAGTAGCCTTCAAAAATAGTGCTTCATCATAAGTGTTATTAAGAGTAGAATTATTATGAACACCACGGGAAACCCAACCATAATAAAAAAAAAAGTGAGAAGTAGGGCTTTTTAATGGCAGTTAATCCTGGAGGAATGACAGGGAATGCTGTGCGCAGGTTTTAACTCCCTGTAGAAAGACAAACGGCCTGGGCTTTGGGACAAACAACATTATGATAAAAATACTTTGCTTCTTCGGAAAAATGCAACAGAAAAAAAAAAACTGTCACTAATCCAGGATCACAAAAGCTAGGAAAAAAATATTGTATTCTCTTATATTTTTTTAGCACTATTGGTAGTTAACTGAGCAGTGCTTTTATTACAGGGATGGGAGATGATGCTGTAGCATTCACGTGGGAGAGAAAAAGATCTGATTTGAAACACTTATTGGTTTTCTCTTCCTGGGTCTAATCCTGGCATCCTTTGGGCAGAGCTCTGTTGAGGGTGGTGCTGGCCCCGGGCCCTGACTGCAGTGTTTGCAGGTCTGTTTCTGTAGCCATGGCTGCTTTAGATGCTCTACCATGAGAACGGCATATATGTGGGACATGTGTTAAGCTGATCCTGACGTCCCACATAAATTACACACCCAGTCTAAGGAGCTGCAACTGTTGTGGACAATGCACACGGGCCCATCCATCTGCACACTTACAACTGTGCTGAAATAGTTCGCCCTCCAAGGGATATGTGTGTGCCTGTGTGTGAGTGAGTGTGGGTGTGGGTAATAGGTGTGCTTGTGAGTTTGTGAAGTTTGTGTGTGTGTGTTTATTGGGCATGGCAGAAGGTAAGAAAGAGTAGGGAGAGGGTTTTACAGCCAAAAGCCATTCCGGCTACCGAATAAGATGAATTTCTTTCTGCTTTACACCTAGATTTTGCCAACCGTGAGAGAAGATTCCGGTTTCTTCTCCTGCCATGCTATCAATTCTTACGGGGAGGACCGTGGAATAATTCAGCTCACAGTGCAAGGTAGGAAGAGGATGGCACGAGGGAAAATGCACAGGTGTTTCAGGACAGAAGTGCAGCCCGGCCCCAGGCATCTGTGTGGACTCAGCTTGCCATGCAGCACTTCCTAATTCTCTGAAAAAAATTGAAATGAATGAAGCCAGTACTAAAGCAGTGTCATGCAGTGCCTGTGATTATGTCAAAGTGCAGCCCCCAAACGGGGAACAAAGCCCTTAAAGAATGAAGTCACATGACGAGTACCGGCAGGCACGCTGGGTGTGCAGAAGTACAGTGGTGGACTTTCTCGCTCAATTTTAGGAATCTGTATACTAGACAATCGAATGAAAAGGGAAGGTTACCATTTGGGACCAAAATATGTTTTCAATTAGAGATCCACAGCAGAATCGTGGTGTTTATATTGCCTAGGCTTGTCCCAGTTCTATGGGGGCTATGAAATTGCACGTCCTGGGAAAGTGGAAATGCTCCTCCCTAAAACGGGATTAGGAAACATATCCTCCCAGATAAAAAGCATCCGCCTTGTCTGATGATGAAAACTTGTGTCTGAGTCATGCCCTGCATTTCCACCAGCGCTGTCTCTTCTGAACTCGGTTTGAACTAACCCTGGGTCTTTCTGTTGATGGCACAGAGCCCCCCGACCCTCCCGAAATCGAGATCAAAGATGTCAAAGCACGCACAATCACGCTCAGGTGGACCATGGGGTTCGACGGAAACAGCCCCATCACGGGCTACGACATTGAATGCAAAAATAAATCAGGTAAGTTCTTTATGTTCTGCAGCTTTGCTTTCGCTTCAAAAAGCCTTTTCTTTTTCCTTTTTAATTTATTTAACCCATAAGAACACACCTCGCCTCGGGGAAGGAAGCTCAGAGGGTCCTCTTTGAATAAGCTGGTCTCAAGACCCCCCTGCATGAAGTGCTTTCAGCTTCCTGCTGAGGGAGCCCAGCTCTGTCCCTTGATTCTGGAGCCAGCCCAGACCTCACTCGTGCTTCCTGCCGGCCTCTGTGGCTTTGCTGCCACCCATGGGCACATGGGCAGCTACTGCCAGAGTCAGGCGCCCGTTGAGACCTTTTCTTGCCTATTTCTTCCTTTCCCATTTCCCCGGCTGGGCGACTGCTCTGGGGCATGGGCCCCTGTCCCGTGCCCGGAGCAATGAGCCCCAGCTGCGCGCGGGCTCTGCAGGATGAGCTGTGCAGTGGTGGTTTGTGCAGAAAAAGGGGAACTCAGTCTGCAGACACCCCAGAAAGGCCCAGGGACCACCAGCGACACTGACTGCTGCAGCAGGGAGCACTGGGCAGAGAGCTCATAAATAAAACCGCCCCGCTGTCAGGGCCACTGCAGGCGTGTCCTCTGAGGACCTCCCAGGGACAGTGGCAGGGCCATTTTGAGCAGTGAGATGCATCAGGCCAGTGGAATGCCACCGCTGCTGTGGCCTCTAGTCAGAATTTTCACCGTGTCTCATAAAAGATACGAGGAATTTGAGCACTGGCAGCATGGGAGGGGTTAATAAAAATTCTTAGAGGCCACAAATATGGCCTTATTTTCCACCTCCTGGGCACCTTACGTTATTTCAGATTGCACACTGTGACTCATTTAATATCCTTTGCGCTGAAGCTGTAGTAAAAAGTCAAGCTCGAGGCAGCAGGAAAAGGCAGGTGAAGAGTGAGGGAACGTTTCCGTAGGAGCACGCCAGGGACAGAGCCCGAGGGCTGTGTAGGTGGGATTGCCAAGAAACCCCAGGGGTGGCTCCTAAGGATTTGGGGAAAGCAGAATTTGGAGACTAAAAAGATGGATCAAATCGAGAACAGTGTTTTGAGAAATAGTGTCTGAGACTTGCTGGGTTAAAAATGCTCGTAAGAAAAGACAGAACATCTCAGGTCATTTAACTCAGAGTGGCACCTACAGACCCCAAAGTGAGCAGGTGCAAACACGAGGCCCAAGGAAAGACCCTCAGGGGGTGATGGGGCCCTGAATCGCATTGTCACTGGGAAATGCAGCAGGACCAGTGTCCGGGACTCAGGGGCGAGGCTCAGTGACCAGGGTGGGCCAGGCCAAGACGGTGCTGAGCAAAACAGAGGCCAGGACAAGCCACTTCCCAAGGGCGAGAGGAGAAGAGAGGATGGCCTTGCCTTTGTTTTAAAGAAACAGAATTGAACGTTCTAAGATACTGGTCTTGAAGTGTAGAAAATTAGAACTAATTGATCGACATCTATGTGGACATACGGAAATAACATTCATCAGAAATCAAGCAGGTGGGGAGAAGAGGGTTGGGTAAATTCACACCTAATGGGTACAATGCACACATCTGGGGGACGGACATGATACAAAAGCAATTTATGTAACCAAATCATTTGTACCCCTGTAATATTCTGAAATAAATTTAAAAAATATAAGTCAGGAATAAATCTTTGGGCAAAAATAAATAAATAAATAAAAGACTTTCAAATGCCTGCTATTAAAAAAAAAAGGGCTTCTTAAGTGAATCAGGCACATTTGAGCATAGATTGGCCTGGAACCGGAGGGTTACAAGGAGAGCTCGGGCAGCCCCTGTCCTTGGTGCTGGAGTGCTCAGGTGGCTTCCCAGAGCGGAGCAGCTCAGGACCCCCACTGTCTTCCTGGAGGATCAGTCCCAGGCTCAGCAGGGGTTGGGATCCAGCCCGTGCAGTGTCAGCGGCAGGCTGTGTCTCGCCATCGCTGTGCCTTGGCCTGCTTGCCTCCCCACTCCTGGTCTCATCTGTGAAGCGGGTGCTGCTGCACCTGCCTCAGAGGACTGTGGCCGGCCAGGGTCCCTCAAAGGCCATGGCTGGCCCTGGCTGGAAGGTGTCCCCTTCCCAGGACCACACAGCTGTGCCCTCCTTCAATCCCACTTCTCATGTGCTCACATGACTTCATCTCCCGTTTGCTCCTGGCAGATGCCATTGTATGTCGTCATGTAGGTGTCACGTAATTATTGATGAATATATTGAATAATGCATTCCACCTCCACCAGACTGGAAACTCCTTGGGGTTCCCTGTGCTCAGTAGGTCTACTTTGGCCCAGCCCGTTTCTCCATCACCTGGCACCGTGCCTAACATGTGACAGGCACTGCATGGACACTGATGAATTCTCTGTAGGAAGGGAATACATTTAAAGCACTTTTACTCACTGTCTGGTACATAGTCAATGTCTAACAAGTGGTAGCTTGTAGTATTGATCAAACATGCATCAAAAATAAAATGCCTGAAACCGTCTATATTAGTTGAACTACTTGCCCACCATTTGAGAGTCTTGGTGTCCCCTCCCTTGCACAAGTTCCTCAAGGCAGGGACTCTGACTTGGGTGTCCCTGCATGTCCAGTGCCCAGAACACTGCCTCACATGTGAAGAGCATGCTGTAAATAGTTGTTGCATTTAGTTTACATGCAGTTGAAATCTAAGAATCATCTTTATCATCAACAGCATCTTTAAATGTAAAAATTAATTGGACTGTACATAACCAAAGCAGGAAATCTCCTTATTATAAATCTGGGTAAAGTCAGGATTAAGGGATGCCTTTCCCATCCTTCCTGCTCTACTGCAATCTGAGGCAGGTCCAATGGTACACCTTTTCTAACTTCTGCACCCCCACTGCTGGGCAGTTGTCCCCCTGAAGGCACTAGTGACCCCTGAGAGCAGGCACCGTGTCTGACAAGCCCTGCACTATGTCCCTACACCCCGCATGGTGCCTGGGACATAGACTAGACTCTCAACCCTTGTTTTAGGCAATGGTGAAATCATCCCCCCAAAAGATGCTTTCCTCTACTTTTTGTTAGTTTCCTAAGAAAGCAATATATTACCAACATATTAAAGTACTTAACATTCTTAACAGAGAATACTTCTGTGAGTGATCATTCACTCTATGCTTGAACAGTCCCAGAAATAGAGACTTACTAACCCTGAGGAAGCACACCTCTGCCTTGGGCCAGCTGCGACTGTTACAAGTTCTTACATTTATTGCACCAAAATAGACCTTCCTGAACCCAGTGGCCCTCTTCCCACCCCTAAACCCTTTGTCCGAATGATACCTCGTCCAGGATTTGAAGACAGGTGACTCTCCTGGGCTTACTGTTTGCAGGAAACATGAAACATCCCAAGTCCCTCTACTTGTCCCCTGCCCCTCCCACTCTGGTCGTGCCCAGTGGCAATCCCCAGGTACCACTGGACCAGGTGCAGGCACCGCGGAGCTGTTGCCTCCCTCATTCAGAATGTTCTTTCTTCTTGACACCCACAATTCCTTGGGGTTTCTTTGGTTGTCACGTTGCTTGGCTGCCATGACTACTGCTTATCCTCTACCTGGGCCCATGAGTCCCATTAAAGAACTCCTTTCAGCATCTTGCCCTGGGGACCCCAGTTGGCCAGTCTACAGTTTGCTGCACCTGCCTCCTTCCCTTCTCTGGAACAGCCTGCCCTTTCCATGGCTGCTCTTCCCGCATCTCTGCCTTCCACAGTGCCTCATGGGCCTTTGAACGGGCTTCAGCACCTTGGCTAGCTCCCCCACATCTTGGAATGTGACCATCCAGGCCAGGAAGCACAAAGGCTCTTCCACAGCACGATGGTCCCTTCCAGCCCTTCTCTCCCTGAGGATTACTCTGCTCCATGAAGAAGACAGAGCTTTCTCTGGGTCCCTGTGCCTCCCTTCTGTTAGCCAACACAGTAGGCCTGGTCCTTCTTCAAGCGACCTCTTCCTTTGTAAACCTTTTGTGTAATTCTTGTCTCCAGAACTTTCAGTGACTCTCACTTGTTCCAGCCTTTGGCCTCTGACAGCATTTCTTCATATCGAGTCCACTCTCTTACATTTGTCCTCTGTGGCCTGCCATCCTCCAGAATCTGGGTGTCTGGGCCCCAAGGTGGGCTCCCTGGTGAGCACCACGTATAACCACAGGGCTCCTGTGAGCTCCCCAGTCCTTCTTCACAGGGGCTATTTGGACCTGCAGAGGCAGAGTGGGACTCTGAGCTTCCCACCCTGGTCTTATGCCACTGGTCCCCTGGGGGGAGGGGGACATGGCGTGGAATCCTGCCCACATTTCCAGTGAATGCTTCTGGTAACTCCTTTCTAGAACAGGCTGCAAGTCTGACCTATACAGCCCTCTCAGTCTTACTTCCTGCAAACTCAGAGATGCTACAATACTTCTTAGACAAAGCTCCCTTCTCTTGCATTGCATCAAACCATTTGTCTGCATTGCTCCCCCTCATCTGTAACCAAGTCCAAAACTTGTCAGAAGGTCTTCTAAGCACAGGAGACATTCAGCAGGGGTCTGGAAATGTTGAAATCTAGTCCCATTGGGTGTCCTCAAAGAATATGCACAGGTCATATGCTACAGAAAAGTGATCTTGAGCTTGGGGGATAACTCAAGTCAGGTCAAATTCCAGTCCTACATCTTACCAGCTATGCAACAGGGCCTGAGTTTCTTGACCTTCACAAAGAAAATAAAAATCCCTTCCTTGGCAAGATGTTACAAAAAATTAATCAAATAAAATAGCCTGTCCAAACTGTACATCAGAATGACCCAGGCAGAGAGTGTCTTTAAAAGCCCAGATTTCCGGGCACCCTCCCCAGAGTTTAATTCTGAAGGTCTAAAGCACAGCTGTCAAAACGCCCCGAGGTGCTTCCAACGTGCCCACAGAGTTGGGGACTACAGAAGTCACATTTTAAAATGCCTAGCACAGTGCCTTGATGGGAGGATGTAATTGAAAATTGAACTATAAATATAACCAGGAAGAATGTACCATAGACAAGATAAAGGAACTTCTTAGGAGCGAGTCACAAACAGAAATGTATGCACAGAATGTATGCAATGAGCCTGTATGCAAGAGCCTGAGATTATAGGCATGAACAGGGGGTGTTTGGTAAGGCCACAGGCAGGAAGGACAAGGAATGGAATTTGGGGATTTGAAACAGGTCTCCTGGCCCAGTGGCAGGAGTGGGTGCTGGTTTCTACAGGCAGAGAGTGAGCAAAGGTAGCATCCAGGATGGTTTATGAGTCACGCTGGAAGACTCTTTAACAGGAGGACTAGTTACCAAGGCATGGGCTGGGCTGAAGCAACCTCCAAGGGACAGAGGCAGAAGCCCCAGTGACTGGCAAGGTGAGAGCTGAGCCCTCCCTGCCTTGATCCCTCACATGGCTTGGGCTGGTGGCAGGAGAAGGTGGTCAGCAGACATCCATGTGCCTCTTCGGGCTGTGGGCCACTCCCAGACACCACTCCAGGGAAGAGGGCTGTGCCTTCTTTGGCTCTGTCAGTTCCAGGAAATTCCATGTTGCCTGAGCAGAGCTATCAACCACCACAAGTGTCCACTTCCTCCTGGGGCTAGTTAGTCCGCAAGTTTCTCCGCACCTGTTAGCTCCTGGGGTCCTCCCTGTCATCCTAAGTGTCTTCTCCAGGAGGCTGGCTTTGTCTCTGTGGACCAGGCCCCTGAGTATCGCCATTGCATTGGCATAAAACCTCCACCCTCATTTGCCCCCTATCGAATTGCATTCTTCTCATCCTCTGTCATTTGAACTTTTGCCAAATCTTCTCTTTCTGTGTCACACTCCTCCATCTCCAATCTCCCTGGCTCAAAGGATGCTCTTCCTCCAAACTGCAAGATTAATCATCAGTTTCTATTAGGCTCCATTCCTCGGGAGGAAATTAGAGCGTTCAAAAGCAGCCTTTAAGCCACCTACTTTTGTCTTCAGTCCAGAGAATCGCCTGCATTTGTGTTAAGCCCTGGACAGAGCAGCCCCTGCCCTGCCACACTCACCAGTGGGGTGTGACGAGGGGAGCGGCCCGCTCTCAAGACCCAGAGGTCCTTGTATGTGCCGTTTATTTATTCATCTGTTCAACACGCAGTTATTATTCATCTGCTCTGAGCCAGGCTCCGTGCTAGCAAAGGGACACACAACTGAATGTGGAGAGTGTGGCCTCTGCCCTCCTGCAGCTTAAACTACAGCAGGAAACACAGATTGTCTGTGAAAGACTTACAAGTGTGATGAGCTCCACTGAAGATGACCCTGGGGTGGTGGGAACACTTGGGCATCTCCTCTGTCCACTGTCTTGGGGGCTTCGTTGCTCTTCCACCACCAGCACCAGCTCTTGACCACCATCCCCCCAGTCAACAACCGCCTGGACTCTTTGATGTAAGAACCGTTCACTGACAGTCTCCACCTTGGCTAAGCCCCAAAATCACCAGGCTCAAACTGTCACAGATTCCATGATAATGCTTCACACTGGGCAGGTGCTGTGGTTGAAATTAGCTGTGGCTGAAAATAATTCCTACAACCAAAAATGTGAGGCTACATGATCTCAAAAAGTAGAATTGAGAAATATGTTTGGTTAAGCAGGGCTTATACTGGAAATTGGCATTGGTTCAGGTGGGATTTATCTCATTTTTACTACTCTCTATATGGGAAAGAAAGACTCCCATACAGCTCAAGGTTTTGCTGGGTTTCAAATACCTTTTAGAGCCAGGGGTGTGCAGGGGCTCAGAGGTAAGAGTGTCCTGACCACACTTCACTCTATCGACCTGTGCAATGCGTGCCCACAAGTGGCCGTTTTCCGCTTCACTGGCCTGAGCTGCCACTGCGGTATTTCTCCTCCGTGACCGCCCCCCCCCCGCCCCCGGCGGCCAGATCTGTGCTTCCTCCAACACCCCTCCCTGAACCCTGCTGGCCTCCCGCCGCCGTTGGTCCCCACAGTGTGGGGGATGTGTGCGGGAGGTCGCGTCCCCTCTTACTGCCAGCTGAGCCAGAGAAAACTGGGAACAGCGCATTGAGAAGTCACTTGGGATGTCATTGTTCTCTCTTTCCTCCTTTCTTTTCTGTTTTTAATTCCTGCTTGTGAACTTTCAAAGGCAGAGGGAAAAAAACTCACGTCTCTATCTCTTCTTTTTTGAAAAACAAAACCCCAAAGACTCCTGGGATTCTGCTCAGAGAACCAAAGATGTTTCCCCTCAGCTGAACTCGGCCACCATCATTGATATCCACCCTTCCTCCACCTACAGCATCCGCATGTACGCCAAGAACCGGATCGGCAAGAGCGAGCCCAGCAACGAGCTCACCATCACAGCGGACGAGGCAGGTGCGTGGCGCTGGGTGGGGTGGCGCCCCAGAGGACCGGGGAGCTGACTCTTGAGGGCTCAGACGCTTAAATGCAGAAGAAGCAGACCTTTGCCCACGCTGGGTGGAGGTCTTTGATGCCTGCTCTCCATAGTTCCATGCCCTGGAAAAACCGCAGACAGCACCCAGCATCTTACTTTGAAGGCACTGCTCTTCAAATAGGATCTAGTGCAAGGGTTCTCATAGCCAAGACTTAAAAGAGAGACGCACGAGGCTAACAATCTGGTGAGATTCAAAGAATCATGCCGTTTCACGAGTCCTTTGTTTGGACTTATGGAATCCAGGTTGAGGGGGGACACAGGAGTGTGTTTCTAGCCTAAGACCCTGTGCAGTCCAGTGTGGGAGGGATGGAGGGACATTTAACTAGGAAACAGGAGGCACCTGTTCTGTAGGGGGAAGTAGAGGGTGGGGGGAACAGATTATTTTATTGACCAGAAACCACAATATTTTAAAATGAATTTATTGTTCTTTTTCCTGTTACAAAGAATTTCATAACCAGTGTTGAAAATCACAAGATAGAAAAAAAGCATTTTGAAAAAGGCCAAACGGCTTGCACGATCCACCTAGGGCATGTTGATATAACCTTCTGCATCGTTTTTACAACCTGTTTCATCTCCCACACACGTGCATGCACACAGACATGCCTAGGTGTGTACACGCCCCTTAACACTGCGGTCCTTTCCTGGTTACTGGGGGTGAAATTAACTGGTTTGCAGAGGACTGCGCAATTAGGCAGCGGTGCATAGGTGCTGATGGTCAGCCCACCTCCTGGCAGGAGAGGAGGAGGGGAAGCCACTGTCCTTGGGCTTCTCTGAGGAGAAATGTAAGGTGCCAATGATGCCAAGCTCACGTCTTGAAGGGAAAGATGTGTCCAGCTCCCAAAACCTCCTTTCCTTTTAGCTCTGCCCACAATCAGCTAATCAGCCACTCCCTACTGCAGTGCAGTTGGAAGCTTAGTCTCAGATCCCTGAGCCTCAGACCCTAAGAGGTTTGTTTCATCTTTCAGTAGGCGTTGTCCTTGACTTTCTTTCCACCACTTCCTTCCCCGTTACCCCAGTTAACGGCGTTCCAGATAGACACTGGACTTGTATGTCTCTCAAGTACTTTTCTACAGTTTGCAATGGCATCTTCCACCATTTATATAACAAATCCCATATTGCTGGACATGCCAGATATTTTCAAATTCTCATTATTATAAACACCACTGTAATAAACATCCTGGTGGTATCTTTTGAAATTTCCAAGATCATTTCCTCATGTTAAATTCCAAGAAGTAGGATGGCTGGATCCAATCAAATGCAACATTTTAACTCTTTTGCTATGCGTAGTCAGTGTTATCCTTACAGGAATAGGTTAAAATGTACAATTCTTCCCGAACCGCCCACGAGTGCCTATTTTCCAGTGCTGGGAGACATCCCTCTTTGAATATCATTTTCAAGTGTGGCCGACAGAAAGGCCTTTAGTGTCTGAGGGTGAGCCGCTGCTGATGCTGGCATACTCTCTGTCATTTCTCATCTGCAAGATGGACATAATGATGCCTTTCTCCTCTTTACACAGATGTATTTGATCATCGAAAAAAACATTCTCAGCTCTAAAAGTACTTAGCATTTCTCAGAAATAAGTGGCAAATGAGTGTTAATGTGCTCCTCCTGCAAAAATAGAATCTTATTGAATTATGTATTTAAACAGCCCCCTAACTTCCTGGCATTTTATTATGCTGGATATTTAGGGAAAATAAGCTGCCCCCATCCTTCTACCCAAAATGTCATCTTTGAGTCCCTGCTCAGCCTTCTCCTTTCCTCCCCGCCCCTTCTGTGGTCCTGCCCGATCCCGACAGCCCCCCCCCCATAACTGCATTCTTCCGGGGGTGCACTTGCAGCTGCTTCCCTGATTGCCGTTATTAATGCTGCTGTTGTTGCTTTTCATTTCGTTTCCTCTGTGACCTCCGCTGCGGCTGGCAGTTGCCATGGCAGCATCTCTCTCTCTGCAGCCGGGAGGCCAGGTGAACAGCCCCCGGGGTGCTAGTGTGCAGGGCAGCTGCCTGGCGTCTCTGCAGACAGATGCAGACCCCGGCTCCCCGGCTCCCCGGCAGGCCTTTTGGATTCTACCTAGTGCTGGCTGGGGCAGCCCCACAACCCTCTCTCCTTTGATATTCAGATGAGCTTAGGAGAAATGAATGGAAGGGAACAGACTTGAGCAGAGGAACACCACAAACACAGAACTTGTCTTTGCCTGGGTGCACAGGTTTGCATGACTGAAATGCAAAGGTCACTTCCCATGTGTGACTCCCCAGCGCAACTGCCCTGACCAGAGACACCCTCGCTGGAGTTGCCGCAGGGGCTGTCAACACTGCCAGCGCTTCTCGGCAGGCAAGCCCGAAGGCACAAGATGGCACTGTGGCCATCTTGGGGTGACCTTTTCCCACCCCTGCAGCTCCCTTTCCCCAAAATAAGAGGTCACCTTTCAAGCAGTGAGAGTCTCCAGATGGCAGCTTCTGGGATTTATTGACCCACTTGCTTTGACCGTGATGTAGTACCTGTACCTTGGGCACCAGACACGCCCCTCACTACCCACCTGGCTGGGGACGTGGGTCTGTGAGGTGCTCGGATCTTGGTGTCCCCCGCGGTATGTGTGAGATGAATACTTATAAACACGGCTCAAAGGACTGTCCACCGTGGGTATTACAATGAACAAAGAGAAAATACATGATGGATTAAACCCATGCTGAAAGTTGGAAGGGTGTTATTGTCTGAATGTCTGTGCACCCCCAAATTGATATGTTGAAGCCGAATTCCCAATGCAACAATACGAAGAGGTGGGGCCTTCCCGCGGTGACTGGGTTACGAGGGTGGACCCTCAAGAATGGAATCAGTGGCCTTACAGTGTAGGCCTGCAGGAGCCCATGTCCCCTTTCTGCCATGTGAGCACGCAGGGAGGAGGTACCATCCGTGAACCGGAAGAGCCAGCCCTCACAAGGCCAAACCTGCTGGCACCCAGACCCTGGACTTCCCAGCCTTTGTAAGAAACACAACATCTCTAAGAAATACATTTCTGTTGTTTTTGAGCCACCCAGTTTAGTGTATTGTGTTATAGTGGCCGAAAAGGACCAAAACAGGGGCTGCATAAAGAAAGGCAGAGAAAAGTGAGAGGGTAGGACTGGAATGCGGGGAGACACCAGGGGGAAAGAGCAAGACCCTCCGCAGAGCTCCAGCGCTGACCCCAGGAAGCACCTGCGCCTGCAGCCTGAGATGCCCTTAGCCCGTCCTGACGGACAGGGCAGGTCCCCGGTCATCTACTGCAGCCCACGGCAGATCAGGCCTAGGGGTGCGTTCGGTTTCGGTCTGCCTAGTGTGGTGTAAAACTTTTGAATTAGGTGTCATTTTTTTTTCATCTGGGAATTTCAGATCAACTAAATTTTGAGTTGTTCTTGAGTTCCTGCTTGGCAGTAATGAGCTGGAGTTAAGCATGCAGTGGTCACCCTTTAAGCTGGCCATACCCACCCCCTGTGACCCATAGCTCCACCCTACTGTCATTTAGGGGTCAGCAAGCTATTAATACAACCTGTGGGCCAAATCCCACCTACAGACCTCAAACTGAGAATAGTCTTTACATCTTAAAAAAGAAGAAGAGCATGCAATAGAGACTGCATGTGGCCCGCAAAGCCTAAAATATTTACTGTCTCACCCTTCACAGAAAAAGTTTATGATCTCTGGTTAAGTCTTGCCACCACAGGAATTTGAGTTTCGGGTCCCTGCTGTGTCGAATGCAAAGCGCTGGAAAGAAGGAATCACTGCCAAGTTTACACAGCATCCATCCCTACCTACTGTTGGAAAATATCATGGCTCCAGTGCCGAGATAGTGTTTATTTTCGTGTAAAAGTGCACAAATGCATTATTATCCCACTTTAATGCACTTGGCCTCAGAGAACAGCCGTGAAGCCAAGGTCACGCTGTTGAGCACAGTCTTCTCAACTCCTGTTAACAACCCTCGTCCCCCCAAAGAAGGAGAAGTCAAGAGAGTAAGTGGAGACTCTGTCAGAGTCGGTGAGATCAGCTCTTAATGGACCGGAAGTGCGTCTGACCCCCCACATCCCTGCGACACCATCAGCCACGTGGCACGCACGGCTGGCCCTCGCCACGGACCAGCTCCCCCATTAGCAGCTGCCCCCTGAAGGTCGAGTGTCACTTAGTGCCACGGGACCGAGCTTGGGGTGGCTGGTCCCTTCACCGCTTTCATTATGAATCTGTGCATAGAATGTGGAAGTTCAATTATTGCGGGAACTCGTTGAAGCATCGCTCAATTTTCGTGGGCCATCAGCGGATGGAAGGTCTGGATTATGAAAGGGTCCCGACATGGGGTCATCGGGGCTCCAGTGGATGTGGCACTCAGTTATGTCCTTGCGTCACTTCTCATCACATTGCAGAGCAGCAGCTCTGACCTGGGGGAAGTTTCCAGTATGCCGAGCTGGAGCTGAGGGGGACAGGATAGAATGAGGGCTGAAGGCATAACAGGTGTAAGCACGGGAAACAAACACAGGGGTAGCAGTGCGAGTCAGGGCAGAGTGTGGCATCTGCGTATTCTTCAATAAAGGAATCAAAGGCACGGCATCCGACCAGTGAGAAAAACCAGGCATGGCCTGCACCCGACACAGCCATCAGCATTGAAGAAATTTTGGGAATTAAACCTAGAGAAATCATCAGCCTCCCTGCTGTTTCTCATACACACTAAGTATATGATTATTGGTTATCCTGGAAAGTTCCAGAATGGTCTGGAATGTTCTTCCCTCTCCTCTCTGAGCCCTTTCAAGTTTCTGCTCAGATTATCATCTTCTCAATAACCTTGTCCTGACCACCTTATTAAAATTCAACCCACTGCCCTTTCTGGTATGGTTGGTCCCCTCCCTCCCCTAACACTCTCCTTTCAAACATGTATCACCACCCAATGTACCATGTAAGTTGTTGATTTACTTTTTTTTTTTTTTTTTTGAGACAGAGTCTCACTCTGTCATCCCAGCTAGAGTGCCGTGGCATCAGCCTAGCTCATTGCAACCTCAGACTTCTAGGGTCAAGCGATCCTCCTGCCTCAGCCTCCTGAGTAGCTGGGACTACAGGCACACCCCCCCACACCCGCTTAATGTTTTCTATTTTTAGTAGAGATGGGGTTCTTGCTCTTGCTCAGGTTGGTCTCAAACTCCTGGCCTCAAGCAATCCTCCTGCCTTGGCCTCCCAGAGTGCTGGGATTACGGGTGTGAGCCACCATGCACTGATCAATTTACTTTTTTTATAGTCTTCTTTTTGGTCCCCTCCCACAAGGGCAAAAATAGTTGCTTAATTAAATAAATAGCTTAAATGAATGAGCTAAATATTTATTTAATGGTTATAGCTGTTCTTGGTTTTATTTTAATTTTTACTAAACACTGTCTTGGTCCCCTTTGCCCAACAAAGAGCATGGCTCTCAGCCACCCAACGTCTGTGGAAGACGAACACATGGTTGTGAAATTGTGCAGCTGCACCTCCCTATTTTGTTCATTTATTCCACTTTTGTAACCCCAGTCTTTGCCTAGTTTAGGACCTGGCGCATAGTAGGCCCTCAGTAAATCCCCCAATAAGGAATCTACAGATAAAAATGTGGGTGTGATTCCCACCGGGGTGATTCCACCTGGTTCAATAAGCTGTGAGGCCCCAAGACCCAGGTGGAAGCCAGGATGTTGACAGATGGGGAGGGAGGAGCCCTTTGAGACCAGAATGGAGCCTGAGGCTTAGTCTCAGTGGGGACACAGGGGCTGTCCAAGCGGCAGGAGGCTGCCCCGGCAACCAACTGGCAGGGAGGAGCAGGGGCAGGAGGGACAAAGGACACAAAGCCAGCCACCCACGAAGGCCCTGAGGGAAGCAGGAGTGGCGATCCACGGGTTTGGCGATTAGGAGGCACCTGCCTGTCCTTGCTGTGTTTTCAGCCAAACAGAATTAGTAAAAGTCACCTTGTCTTTCACCTTGCAAAAATGCTACAAATTCTAAATATAGTCTTTACTTATTACTGATTCACAGATTGAACTGTTTTGACTTCTGCAGAAGTGCAGAGATCATTTATTTTGAAAAATCATTTCCATTGTTAATCGTTACCTCTATAGCTCTCCATTATTGATCTTCAATTGCACCTCAATTGATCCTTCTTGCACTCAGAATTCACTCTCCCTGGGATTGTAATTTTTAAAAAAATCATCAGCGATGAGATGAGATTATATGAAAAAATTACAGCCCAGGAACTGGATGGAAATCACTAACATTCTGAAAGAAGACAATTTTTTTTTTATATAATTTAAAATTTTTTTCTTATAAATGTTTTGGAAACTTCCAGTAGAAAATTTAGTGCCCTTTGTATAAAAACAAGCAAACCAAAATAACCTCCCTAATTATACAGGGCACAGCCCTAATGTGTGTGTATAAATTGTGTTCTTCTGGTTGGTTTGGACTATTTCTATCACTGTTTCTTAAGAGAGGAGAGATCCAAGTGCATTCACTTCAGGAAACAGGCAGACCAGTATATAATTACTAACAAACCACCAAAGTATTGGTGGGCTGAGTAATAAAGGTGTTAAATTCTGTAATCCTAGCACTCTGGGAGGCGAGGCAGGTGGATCATTCAAGGTCAGAAGTTCGAAACCAGCAAGAGCGAGACCCCGTCTCTACTAAAAATAGAGAGAAATTAATTGGTCAACTAAAAATATATAGAAAAAAATAGCCGGGCATGATGGCGCATGCCTGTAGTCCCAGCTACTTGGGAGGCTGAGGCAGCAGGATTGCTTGAGCCCAGGAGCTCAAGGTTGCTGTGATCTAGGCTGACACCACGGCACTCCAGCTGGGCCAACAGAGTGGGACGCTGTCTCAAAAAAAAAAAAAAAAAGATGGATCTGTCCTAGAAATAAGGACTGTCCTCCTCTCTCCACTTCACTGAGGACCTTCATAAAACACCAGACCAGACTGGAGAGCAAATTGTCCCAGTGACATCATGAACATCATGAACTTTATGTTTTCTGCTAGGTTCAGGGCATTTCTGTAAACACTATGGTAGTACCTTTGTTTTAATTATGACTCTATCTCAACCACAAAATGAAGGCCGTGACTGTTGTCTGCCGTCATCCTGCGAAGGCCACACTCAAGGGATTCAAGACGAGGCGGCGTCCCCACATTGCCTCTGATCCCCAACAGACTGACTTCTTGTGGAATTCAGTTAACACAATTAAATTAAAATAACCGAGCATTAGTGCAGCTGTCAGACCTCAAAATAATCTTTTGAGAAGGATTTTTATGGAGGGAGCGTGCGCTTCTCAGCGACTACAGAATTATCCATGTGGGAGAGAAATCTGTTCCATGGGTTTTTATTGGACCCGATATCAAAAGTTTCCTGTGTAAAGGGCCTGACCCTTCGAGCAGAAATTAGATTCAGAGCTTTAGCGGTAATCATGGCAGTTAGCTGGATGCCAGGCTCTGCCTCGGTCTCTGTTCCGGACATTAACTGCAGTGCTAGCGGAGCCTTTGCACTTTGGGAATCAATAAATCCGAGAGGCCGCGGCAGCCCAGGTAAGCGTCGGCCCCACGGACCTGCTGGGGAGAGACAGGACCTGCTCAAGGTCTCAGCAACCTCAAATTGCTTCGCCCCTTCAGAGCAAGGACCGACTCCGGGCTCAGTTCCTGATTCCACGTAGAGTCAGCCAGGGGACCAGAGATGTGCAAAGAATGATGTGCAAACTTATGCACAGCACTGTGGCAACAGGGTCCCAAGCCCAGGTGGGAACAAACTGCTGTGGGGGGGCCCAGGCACTGGCAGGAAACTCTGGTGGAGGCAGAAGAAGGCTCCATGGCAAAGGCTCCGATTGCCCCGGGGGCAGGTGTGTTTGGGCTCTGCAGAGATGTTGGATCAAAACTTCCTCTTCTGAAAGAAAGAAAACCAGCTTCCCCTTGGCCATGCCTTCCCCCAGTCTACCGTTTATCCCTAAGGTGTCCCTACCTTTCCCCTTACTTCCAAACTCTTCAAAACTAGCTTATATCCAAGACATCTGCTTTCTTGTCTCCCGTGTGCTACTCAACCTTCTGCAGATGTCCATGGCAGGCGTCCTCAAACTACTGCCCAAGGGCCACATTCGGCCTGCTGAGGGCATTTATCTCTGGCTCACCCAGAGGGTTTTTGCCACAGCTGCCTGTCCTGCTTAGCAGCCGACTCGTCCCAGGCCTGCAGTGCGCATGTGTGGAATGTGCCCGCACTCTCCAATGGCCCTCCCACGGTCTGAGGGACAGTGAACTGGGCCCCTGTTTAAAAAGTTTGAGGACCCCTGGTCCATGGAAATGGGGATGACTCTTCTGTAGTTCAGCAGTCATTTCAAAATTGTCAATCCTAAAACATTCTGTAATTGAAAGGGGTCTCCCCCAATGACTCCTTTGTGGTCATTCGCTTCCGCATCTCAGATCCCTGAGTCCCTGCAGGCCGGTCTCGCTGTCTTCTCCTCAGTGTGTGTATCCGATGGCTCTGGTTACATTCTGCACTCTCAGTGGGCGAAAGGTTCAGTACCTCTCCGTTCCACACCATGCACCTAGCACGTGCACATTCCTAACACACGCCGGTCTGCTCTGACTGCAGTGCATTTGGAATTGTCGCTCAGGACTCCCCAGTGGCTTGTGTTGTGCTTGGAAGCAGGTGGGTGCAAGTGGCCCGCTTTGCTTCCTCTTCAGCTCTGCTTCTGCCACCTGTGGCCAGAGCCCCTGTTTCCCAAGGGGATTCAGTAGGAAAGTGTGGAGAACTAAAGCGATCAAAGGGACTCACAGGCAGAGAAGAACCCTGACTTGTTTTGCTCCAAGTAGCACTGAGCAACTGGAGTAACCCCAATAAGCCATCCCTAAACAGAGCTTCCAAAGGGAAGAGAAGGATCTTCAACTCACACCATAGGCAGAGTTTTATAAACGAAATTTTGTCTTACAACTTTTTATTGTACCCCTTAACTTTCTGAAAGTCAGGGTGGATTAATAAAGTTGTCAAAGACACGGTGAGGAGGAATATGATGACAGGGCCCCAGGATTCGTTTTCGGAAGAGCAAATAAACACAGAGAACGCTTTGCACACAGTGACTGCAGAATCGGCTTTGCCCGCTACCTCTAAAAACTTACCTCCCTGTATCAAACACGGAAGTGTCCACGTCTGAGTCCAGGTGTGGTTGTGTAGGTTGCAGTCTACACTGGAACGCATTTCTAACCTGCCTGTGGGGTTTTTGGTCCTTACAGCTCCTGATGGGCCACCTCAGGAAGTTCACCTGGAGCCCATATCGTCTCAGAGCATCCGGGTCACCTGGAAGGTAAACCACGCAAACACGTGTATTCTGCACTATTCCCACAGGGGGAGCCCTTCACTCATGTTAAGTGTTGTGATTGCAAGACACATTTTAAGAAACTTTTATTTTTCAAAATTATAGTAAAATCCCTTTTCTTAAAAGTCGACATTTCTATTCACATTTTGAATACTTCTACAGCAAATCCTGTGTCTACAGAGAATTAAATTATGTGTCTTTTTTCATTCTTTAAATCTTGATCATGGTCCTAAGTATTGGTCACCACGCAAACTGTAAAAATGATGTCCCTGACTGTACTCTCTAGCTTCATCCCAGTGAACGCTTTACCTAATTGCTTTTTCTAAGTGGCAGAGCATGGTGTGGTAGAAAGCTGGTGGAGAGCAGAGAAGTCCTAGGTGGGCCTCTAACTAGCCACGTGCTCAAGCAAGCCCTTTCATTTCCGCCCCACTGAAATGAGCCGTTGCATCGGCTGTCTCCCAAGGCGGTGCTACCCCGAGTGTGGCCCTCGGATGCATTCTGGCTGTTGGCTCAGTGTTGGCTGCCAGGCTCGGGGAGAGAATAAAAGCTTGAGTCATAGCGTAAACAGCTTCATCGTCAAGCATATTGTCCTGCTCAGCTGCTGTGGTTTCCGTAGCAAACTTTCTCAGTGAAGGAAGCAGTGTTGAGTCTGATGCAATCTTGTCACACATTAGCACTTTGGGGCACCCCTCTCCCCACGACCTTCCAGACAGGAGTGTGCCAGTGACCTGGCAGGTGAAACTACCTTGGGAACTAGTCATCCTCTTGAATGTGCTCTTGGAGATAACTAGCTTAACCCAATTCTATTTTCCCTAGAGTGTTATGATCAGAGAAAAAGCTCTGTAAGGTCACACTTACTGTTCTTGTTCTGGATTTCTCCCATTGCATGCATTATTTTTCTTACTTCTTTCCTCACCCTTTTTTTTTCTGTGTCCTCACTCAGAGAAGAAGGCAGCCAACAACCACAGGGAGCTCTTCAAAGGACACACCTCCTGTAACCATTGTACCTGTTTGTTTGCTTGTTTGTTTTCCTTCTAGTGGCTCTGTCATACAATGGCCAGCATCTGTAACAAAAACGGACTTCCCTTGTCGGGGTGGACACCACCTTTGGTATTAGCACAGGGCAATGCAGCCAGCCCCTTTGTGTCAGCCTTTTCCAGCCCCAGCCAATGGGTGGGGTCTGCGGCGGGCAGAGTGACAGGAGCGTGCAGCTGCAGACAGTGCAGGCTGCGGAGTGTGGGCGGAGGTGCCGCCGGTCTTTGTGAGCACGTCCACCACCCGCGAGCATCACACACACCGTATAGAAAAGGCACTCAGCAAGCCGTAACCCCACACGCGTCCTTGCCATGCTACAAACGCGATGCTGACTCACTCTGCCTTGCATTAAAGACGCTGTGAAGTTTTGCCCACTAGCCCTACACATGCTCTTCTGTGTTGTCGCTGAAAAAGACCAGGTATTCCTGCAGCCTCGAACGCTCTTTGGGTCCTGCATGATAGAGCTGTCTGTCCACGGAGTCTCTAGCTCTGATGACTAAAAATGGAAACTCCCGAGGCTTTAAAAGGCATCGTGTCCTTTCTCTCTTTGTCGAAAGCACTGGCAGAAGTCGGTAAATTGCGGTTAAATTTCTTCTTCCTGCTGAAAGGATGAACATGTTGTGGGGTATGAAGAGGAAGCCTGGCTCTCATTAGATTGTGAACGGGTTGTGGCACGTTGTTTGTGGAGTAGTGTCATCCATCTCAGAGTAGTGGGCCCTTGTGGCGTGGCCTGTCAGCAGGCAGGAGTGTCTGTGATCTACCTGCCTAACGGGGGAAGGACCACCCTGTCGCCGGCTTTCCATTGCACGTTGGCGTGTTTATGTAGTGAGCTTTTAAAGCACGTCACTGATCCAATCAAATTATATGCTATTATGCATCGTCTAGAGTGTACGCAAAGTGCAATACGTTGCACCCAGACTCCTCACTCAGGTTCATCGCCCCTACCTGCCCCCGGGAGCTCCCGCCCATTCAGCGGGCAGGCCCACAGGTGGCATCTTTCCCATCATGCCCACCCTTCCTGCCCAATCCTACTTATTCAGGGCTCAGGTGTGCGTGACTCCCCCCGTGAAGACAGGTGAATCTCCAAAGTGGAATTAGTAGTTCACCCTCTGTGTTCCCTGTTGCTCTTGGCGATGGCTCAGTGAGGTCCCCATCCCGTGGTCTCTGTGTCTGCTGCACACGCTTCATGTCTGCTGCTGCTCTGCAAGCTCTTTAAAGGCAGGGAGAGGGTCTGATCCGGCTCTGAACATGTTGCATGAATAGATGAATGAAAGGAGCCGTGAGGAAGGGAGCGAGTGCCTACGTGAGTTGGGAATGAAGAGACAAGTCTTCCGTATCACAATAGCCGTGGGAGCGTTCGGCGTCTCAGCTAGTAGGCCTCCAGACAGCAGACTGTAAAATGCCATGGTCTTACTCATGATACAGTGAAACACTCCGGGGGTGTACAATGGTGACACCCAAAGATGTGATCCATGTGTACCAAACAGATCAACCACTCTGCATACAACTTTCTGCTGTAATTTATTTAAAAGTAAAGGGCAGAAATGGTCCAGTACATTTGTGGTGACTTTTATAGGAAACGGGCATCCGCACATCACAGATGTAAGCCCGAAAGGAAGATGTCCAAGAGCCAGTACCATATTTGATGCCTATGTTATATAAGATGAAGGCTCAGAAAAGGCTATTAAATACTTTTACATATTAGATAAAAATGTGGGCTGATGCCTTAATGGAAACTCAAGAGACCATGCAAGTAGTTCTAAATAAAATAAAGATAAAATAAATGACATAAAGTTTCATTTTCTACCTCCTGCTTCTCATCCTTTGAAAAACAAGCAGGTTTGCATGAGCAAATACAGTGTAATTTACAGCACGTTTTATTTCTGATTTCAAATAAGACAGAATTATTGAAAGCTATAGATTATTGATAGCATATATTTGATAAAGTACCTGAAAATCATAGAACTAGAGAATTCTTTGAATTTTCAGAAAATTCCAATTTTAGTCTATCCTCAAGTGTCTCTTTTAACAGTGCCTGTCGTCTTCTCTTCTGGTCAGTTTCAGAATCAAATGACCCCCTTTTTATGCAAATGAAGGACAGTTTGATTCTAGTTATTGCCCTGTGTATGTGTGTATTGCCACAGCCATTCACAAAATAAAAACATTATTTTGAATATTTAATTACTTATAGACATCTCAAAACACTTATATCCAGGGAAGACAATTTAAGGCAGGGATATATGCTATTGATGTAAACTTTTTGTTGTTTCTTTATTTTTGCTTTAAATGAGAAACATTTGTAGAACTACAGGCTGCCCCCAAAATATGAAATTTTCAATTGCTTAAATACTGCTGTGCTGAGAACAATTATCGAACTGATGACTCAGAGTAAAAAATCTTGAGAATGATCTCACCACTTTCCTGCCCCTCAATATCACACCATCTGGCTGAGAATTTTATTTAGAATGAGCAGAATTCTCATTTGGAATTACAAAAGAGAGGTATTGTTTCCATAAAACATTAAAGCTGAGTATTTAGGGATTTAATTAAATTTCAGCAATCTGAAGAATACTTTTTAGCCAGAACACCACATCTCTGCAATCCCTAATAATTCCAACTAATTGAGGCATCATTACAACCCATTATGTTTCAGAGATGAGCTCATACAATGGGAAAATGGCTCAGTCTGTCATTTAGAAACAAAATTGCCATATTGCCAGTGGCCTCCGTGGTAATGGTTTAATGAACTGCAAGCTCTACTTGACTCCCACATTTAAATCCCTGTACCCCCAGGAAATAGCCGGGCACGTTGGAAACGGCAGCTCTAGAAGCACCTTCCAGCACCGGTGTTTCTAGCTGGGGACAGCTGTCCGGAGCATGTGCTGTCTGCCGGGCACTGCGCTGCACTTCCGCACGCTTTATCTCAGTCAGTACGTGCGTGGGAGCACCCAGTTTTGTGCTGAGGGAGATCTTAAAGTTAGAGGAGCTTGCCTAAGGTATGAAAGAGCCCAAGGTGAGACTGAGGCCGTCTGACTCCACAATCAACAGGTCAATGAATGGGAAGTGCCAGGATCGTAGTTCAAGTATCATATAGTTCCATAAATGTCAATTCCCTTCACTATTCCCTTCAAGCTCATGTTATAAATTATACCCAACCCTATTAAAAGTATAGAAGACACACAAAATTTAAGCTTTTACCTACTGCCATTTCTTTTCCAAATCGTAAACTTAACCTTAGAGTGACTTGAGTAGTGAGTGAGTAAATACCCCTTTTTTCCTATATCGATTATAATTCAAAAGGATTGCCTTGAAATACTTATTTTAACTTATTTTTTCTAAACTATCACTCTAATCTTTAGGCTATGAAAAAATCACAGAGGTTTGGATTTGCTTTTATGAACTAATCTGTTGGTTCTAGTGTTGGTTTTAGAGCAGTTCTATTTGAATTCCTGAAGACCAACAGAAGATCTTACAAATACTGAAGGAGTTGTTGGCCCTTCTCATTTTAACGAATCTAATCTCTTTCCTCTATAACAAGAAAAGAAAAACAACAAACTAACTTCAAAGTCTCTTGGTCATCCACATAGAGTAAGATTGCTCTCTCTCAGCTTCCTAGAGTAGGCTAAACTGTGGGCTCCATGAGGGTTGAGGATTTGTCTTGCTTGTTCTTATGCCCTCAGTAAGAGTGCAATAAATGTTTATTTAATAAATGCATGAACCATCTGCGATTGTTCCCTTTTATGTTAAAAGGCTTATATCACAGGGTGGTGCATTCATTCTTGAAAAACTCGGGACTCCTTAGAAAGCCATAGATGACGGAATTCACATCTTAGTTTTTGGATATATATAAAATATATATATATATATTATATATATATATATATATATATATATCCCTTTAATGAAACCATCTATTGCTTATTTGCACCATTGGGGCTGCATTCTGCATCTCT